TAAAGTTAAATTAAATTATATTAATTCGATATTTTAAACAAAATATTTAGATATTCAAAAACAATACAAAAAGTACTATAAATTTCAATTTTTTTGCATATCAATATGATGAAAATACATCGTAAAATGTTAGACAAAATTATTATCGTTTGACTTTAAAAAAGGAAACTATGACAATTAAAAGTGGACGGAGGTAATAGTAATAATCATGATTAATGTCAATAAACAAGTGTCCATCTAATTAGGTAAAGTCATCATTGTTCTAATCATGATAATGTACAAGTTTTAAATTATATATGGTGTGATATTAGTGCGGCTCATAAATTTAGTTTTATGATAAGGTAATACTCCTGTATCATATTACTTGTTCATTTTATATATATATATATATATATATATATATATATATATATTTCTTAAAAGAATCATAAATAAATAAGGAGAATATTTTACTAATTTACCTTCCAAGTCTTTTTAATATACTTTATTTATATACATTTTTTCATTAATATCAAAATTAACAATGAAGACGTTTTTTTTTTTTGAAATTTTAATATTTATACTTTTAAAAAACGAATTTAAGTGCAAATTGAGAAAAATTTATCTCAATTTTATAAATTGACAAGTAATTTAAGATAAATATTTATAATAATATGGACAAGTACTATTAAGTTATTATAGTACTTATCTATCCTATACTAGTTAAGTTATTCAATGCCAATTAATTTGTCTCATTAATGTTTGAAGAGCTTAAACACAAGTACTAAACTCTAAAGTAGTGTTCCTCTCTTATTTTATTTATCCATTATATTAAAAATTTATTTTTATTTTTATTTTTAATATATCAAGAAAATATTATTTTCTTATAATTTTATTAAGTACTAAAATAGTTTATAAAACAAATAAAATGATTAAGCTTAGTAAACATTATGTTGAGTCGGGTCTTGATCCGTTATATAATCCGTTATCTAATCCGTTTTGACCCAAATAAATTTAGATTGAATTGGATCTTAATCCGATTATTGTCTTAAACTCATTATGACCCGTCTATATTTAACTCAACCCGTTCAATTGTCATCCCTAAATAGTATCTATACTAGACTAGTTGAAGGAGAGTAGGAATTATGAAAGCTAGAATGACGACTATTTTGGTAATTAAAAATCTTATTAATTTCTTCACTAACCCTATATATATAAATTAATTTTGTAGGCCATAAGGTAGGGTGAAACTTTGAATTAATATCAATGACTACAAGGTCTTAATTAATTATTCTTTAGGACAAATTAAACAGTAGAAGTAGAATTCACTTAAATTACTATTAAGGAGACATACATACAATAATACATATTGAGGTATATATTTTACAAGAGAATAATGAATATTTATATAGACCCTCAAACTACCTCTATTTTCCTTTAATATATAGTTGTGTTTGATAATTAGGTATATCCTTAAACTATTGCATTGATCTTCACCATCAATTTTAATTTAGATGATTGTTGGTTCCACCTTGTTGTACGTAGTTATTATTTATTTAAACAATTTATCGTTTTTGTTAATATTACATGCATCTCACCTAATATTTGTATTTCGTTTGAAGTACAGATTAATTCAGATTCATTCCATATAAGTCTCATTAGATATTGAAACGCTCCCTATTAGAATTACTGAAGCTGAAATCCCTTACCTCTATTTAAGAAAAGGAAAATTCTATTTCTCCAACGACAACCTAAGTGGTAGTTTGTCGGAATTCATCTTCTCCTTTCTGAAATTCTATTTTTTCCCCAGCAAAATCATAATAAAACCTCATATTTAGATTGAAAATATAACATAAGTATATTTAAACTATATCTTATACTACATAGATATATCTAACCCTTTTCCGAATATTAAAACGTCGTCTTTACCTAATTTTGTAAAATGAAAAAAATAGGCTTAAGTCATCGACAACCCCTTAAAGTTGTCCGCATAATTCACTTAGACACCTAAACTAGGACTTGTACCTATTGAACACCTAAATTGTTTAAAACATGTACCTGTTAAACACAAAATGCTGATATGATAGAAATTGTGTTTTGCACTTCCCTGAAGCGCGTGAAAAGATTCAAAATGGTGTTTTTTTTCAATTTTTTTTTTACATTTTTTCATCTTTTATAGCACTTGGCACTATATTTAACTTAAAAACATTTTTTCTTCTTACATTTACATTTTTTTCAAAAAAGAAAAGCACCCCACCTCTACCAATCATCTTCTTCATAATTTAGTTTGCAAAACTTTCTCCATTTTAGCTCCAACATTGTTTTTCTTTCTTTTTTATATATAAAAAAAGAATATTATTTCTTCCAAATCTGAAGATAAATGAAAATCAACTATGAAGAAATCATACGATTCAGATTTGAAAGAAAGACTTTCGTTTGTATGATTTATTTCAAATCTCATAAAAATAATGGAACAAATATGAAGAAGAAGAAGAAAGAAGTTAGATGTGTTTTACGTATAAACAAAGTTAGCCGATATTTGTTTATCACAATTTTTGAACAAATATTTTTACTCAAATTCAAATATAAACCCATTAAATTTATCAAAAATGATATTCAAAAATTTGTAAGAATTAATTTTTGAGCTATCAATTTCTTTTTGTCATCCATGTAGAAATGAATAATCGCCAGCAAATTTTTCTTTCTTCTTCACTCTTAGTATGAAAATATATCTTTTTAAAAAAAGTTAATCTTCAAGTTATTTGAAAAGAAATTAGGTTTTGTGATTTGAGAAAGAATGTGTTTTGAAAAGAAAATGAAGTTAAAAGGGGGTTGGGTAGGGGTGGGGTTTGGTAGAATAGGTTGACATTTTCATTTTTTTTAAAAAAATAGATATAAAATGTGTTTGAAATAATTTTAAACAAAAAATTATTTTTTAAAATAATTTTGGGGCCCAGTGCCACATGTTATTTTTTAATTAGCCATTTTGCCATGTCAGTGCAAGTGTATCACACACTCTTCATATTTTTTTGTTGATTATCAAAAAATGCCTAATATGAACAATTTTTGAATAGGTAAAAGTGTTCAATAGATACTAGTCTTAGTTGAGGTGTCTAAGTGAATTATGTGAACAATTTTAAGGGGCCATCGATGACTTAAGCCAAAAAAATACTATAAAAAAGAAAAAAAGAATAGGGGCAAATTAGTCAATGAGAGGGTTAAATAATGAGGAAAGGGTAATGACAACTAGAGTAGTTTTGACAATGAACATCAATCACGGTCATAATGGTCCAATTAGGAAGTGATACATGAGTAATTAGCAACCATTTAAAAAACGTATAAACATGTAATACTAATAATCCGCCTATGAAACAGTGAATTAATACACTCATATCTTTTCTTGTAAAAAAATTAAACCATATAGTAAAGTGAAGGGCCTCTTTTGTGAATTCACATTATCACATGGGATTTGGGGGGGGGGGGGGGAGGGGGAGGGGGAGGGGTAATAATATATAATCTTTCTTGAACCTAACGGTTCGCAAAACTCAAACCGCCCACGATATGTTTACACCCTTTCTACTCTACACATGACGACCTTTCTTCCACACTCTCACCCCTCGTTGTAATGCCAATTCAAAATTTGAAGTTTATGAAATTTTATATTAATTTTAAAGTTAATGTATAATAATAGAGTACACACTACATAGTACATATATTTAATGAATTTTAGAAGCTATTGAATTTACGTCATTTCGTTATTTTAAAACTATATTTGCTTCTGCACCTTAGCTTGAGCGAATTCAGAATTTTTAAGTTGATGAATTCATCTTTGAAGCTTCGTAATGCTTCGCTTATTATATTTTTATTAAAATTTTAGTGAATTTTAGTAAAAAAATTGATACTTTACTTTAAAATATTGAGTTTAGATGAATTTAAAGATAAAGACTAAATTCGTAACTTCCCATCCCAAAAACACTTCACAAGTCCCACGTACATGTAGGGGTCACTCTTCATAATCCTCGGAGCCATACCCTACTATCTCCCTTTCCCCCACCCAAGATGCCTACCTATACCTAAATTACTAAATTGTTTTTTCTTTTTTTTGGCTCAGAAGTTTCATATAGCATCCAATTTGGTCCTAAAATTCATGTCTTATCAATTTCTAGTGGTCTTTGTTATTATGGTGGATATCTCTTTATTTCCTTCAACTTTGTGTTAAAAATAATCTTTCCCTTCTAACTTTTAGACTATAGACGTTCTTTTTTGCTATATGCAATTTAATCAACAATCAATAGATTTATATAGGTGTTCTACTGTTATCGATAAGTATAAAATTTTATGAACAAATTTAATATTTAAATAACTATTATATACAAATTACTATAACAATTCCATATTATAAAACACAATTCAAATATAATATTATGGCTTCCCTTAAAAAATTTCTCTTTTATTAAAATATATTCATATGACACTAATTTTTTCATTTTTTGAAATATATTCTAGTTGAATTTCATTTATGGAGGAGGTCATTAATTTTAATGTCCACCACTTCTATATATATTAGTATTATTGACAAATGATTAATGAGGCCTCAAAAATGTAAATCACATATATAGGAAGATTCAAATTGGTAACAAAAAAACGACTCAACTATAAAATTTCAACTTTTGTGATTATACTTTTAATATAATTTTATTTTCACTCATTTTCAACGAAGCGGTGTCTCGTAACAACAACTTCACCTAAGGTGGCTCTACCTTTTCTTGCCTTTTTTTCCCCTTTCTTTTAGCCACCCTAAATTTTTTGTATGCAACTAGCATTATATTTGCACCCATGATAACCTAAAAGATATCATCAAGACAAATTGGAAAGTGTGCAAGTTGGATACAAACTTAAACATGATGGACTAAATTGTATCTTAAGCCAAACTTCAAGGACCAAGTAGTGCAATTTACTCTACATCTAAATCTATATATAATCCCACCATGCACCAACTATAGTCAATTCCACATACTCTCCCTCTCTCCAAATCTAACTTCTTTCTAGTCTTCAAAGAGTAATATATATATATATTTATTCACAAAAACATGTTACCATACCATCCAAGGCCAATGATCATGATGGAAAGGACACGAAAGTCCAATCTTGAACAAGCACCAAATTGTCCTAGGTGTGCCTCTACCAACACAAAATTTTGTTACTACAACAACTATAGCTTGTCACAACCTAGGTATTTTTGCAAAGCTTGTCGTAGATATTGGACTAAGGGTGGTTCTCTTCGAAATGTTCCCGTTGGTGGCGGTTGTCGGAAAAGTCGACGGTCAAGATCTACACGAAAAGACGATAATACCCTTCAAACATCGATCCCCGCCCTCGAAGGCGCTCCCGGAGCTCATGACATTGATCTAGCGGATGTTTTCGCTAAGTATTTGAACCAAGGTACAAATAATGATCATGATGATAATATTATTATTCAAGAATCTCAAGATTATTCTTCTATTGGAGCAAGCTTATCTAATTCTCCTTCATCAGATAGCTTGGTTAATAATCCAACTTCTTTTGAGAATGAAAGTTTGTTGGATAATTTCCAAGATTACCCTTGTGGTAATTTTCTTCAAGAGGAGCAAGGGGGTCAAATTAATCAAGATTTTCTTGATTTTAACACTAGCTTTCTTGAAATGCAAGCTATACTTGGACAAGAGGAGGATCAATTTGATCATTATAACACAAGTAATTTTGAGTGGCAACCAATGATGCAATTTCAAGATTTTGGATCAATTTTAGAACTAGATGATCATCAACTCATGAAGAATTCAACAACAAACTTAGCAAGTCATGACAATAACAACAATAACTATAGTTCATTTGATCTATCCAACTATATATGAAATTTACTTAAGGTGCAAAGGGTATCTTCTTTATTTTATTTTATTTTATTTTTTGGTTTGGTGGGGGTGGGGGTCTAAACTTATTCTTACTTGAAAAATGACAGTTAACTGTCACTTTGTTATTTGAAAGAGACTTGTGAGAAATACAGGATGAATATAATAAAAAAGATATACACACAAAAAAGAAAAAAAAAAGTATCATACACTTCTTTTTTTTTCTCCTTATTTTGTTCTAACCTGTATTAAATACTTGGGCTGGAGTAGTATGTTGTAACTTCTTAAAGTCAACAATAGTTCACAATCAAGCAATTATGGCACATGGACTACTTTGGAAAAAATACATGCAGTAATTAAAGGGGTGGGGTCAGGGATCGATGTATAAGTATATATAACCTATAACAAAACAATATAATGCATATGAAATGTGTGTTATTTATGCATAAGCTTTTCATACAAAACTGTTTGTCCACACTATTAATTAAATTTCAACATGAAATATATCAGCATAATAAGTAATATAAATGTTTTTCATGGCTGGCCACATAATTTGGTAGGGTTTGGTATATGTCGTATTAACAATTAGGGATAATTATGGTTCTAAACATTTTGGATAATTAGCTTACAAAATGTAAAACTTGTGTATGCTTTTACTAAGCTAGAGTTGGGTAATAGATTCTCAAATATTTTTCGCAAGTTATTTTTGTTTGAAGTTTCACCACGTGTTTGGCCATAGTATTTGGAAAAAATATTTGACTTTTTAAAGAAATATGATTTATACTTGTAAGTTTTAAAACCAAGAAAATTTGGGCTAATACACATGAAAAATCAAGAAAGTCGCCTAATTTCCTAAAAGTTGGCTCGTAAATGAAAAAATATGCCTTAAAAATGGTGGAACTATACGTAATGCTTTCCCAACTCATTATGGAGGTCCTCTTAAAGTTTTTTCGAATTTTTTTTGGGTGTTCCAAGGCGACATATCCATAAGCTAATAGACATGAAAAACCAAAAAAGTTGCGTAACTCTTAAAAGTTGGCTCGTAAATGTGAAAATAGGCCATAAAAAATGGTTGGAGTATACACAATGCTTACCCAATTCATTACGGAGGTCGTCATAAAGTTTTTTCAAATTTTTTTTTTAGGTGCCCCAAGGTACCAGATCCATGGGCTAATACATACGAAAAATCAAGAAAGTCGCGTATTTCCTAAAAGTTGGCTCATAAATGCGAAAAATATGCCTTAAAAATGGTGAGACTATATGTAATGCTTCCCCAACTCATTAAGGAGCCCTCATAAAGTTTTTAGAAATTCATTTTGAGGGCTCCAAGGCGCCAGATCCATGGGCTAAGACACATGAAAAATTAAGGAAGTCGCGTAATTCCTAAAAGTTGGCTCGTAAATGCCAAAATATGCTTTAAATAATGGTTGGACTATACATAATGCTTCCACAACTCATTACGAAGGTCCTCATAAAATTTTCAAGAAAATTTTTCGGTACTCCAAAGTGCTCTAGATCCATGGGCTAATATACACGAAAAACTAAGAAAGTCACGTAATTCCTAAAAGTTGGCTTGTAACTGCAAAAATATTTCTTAAAAAAATGATGGGACTATACGTAATACTTTCCCAACTAATTAAGGAGGTCCTCATAATTTTTTTTCATATTTTTTTTAGGTTCTCTAAGGCGCCAGAACCACAGGCTAATATACACGAAAAACCAAGAAAGTCACATAATTCCTTAAAGTTGGCTCGAAAATGTGAAAATATGCCTTAAAAATGGTGGGACTATACATAATGCTTGCGAAAATGATCAAAATGGTCCTTAATGTCACTCCCCGAGCCTACACCCTGGACGGGACCGGCACTCAAAGACCATTGTTGGCCCCAAGCGAACCCTTGGCCTGACTTACTTAACTCAGCGGAAACTTAACTCAACAGAAATAACTTCATGCAATGAAAGGTTATAAAATAACCAAACTGATAAAATCTGGCCAAAAAGGCAACTCGTATCTCAAAATAGAATATTTATATATATACATAGATGAGAGACTCAATACTAATTGACTGACTGACTATCTATGAAGCCTCTATAACACTGAGATGGATGTTGGGACAAACCCCGCAACATCCTAATGAAACAAAAACTAAGAGAACAAATTAAATGAGTCCTCCGGAATGCAAAGAGGCTCACCACTGACTCGGGAGTGCTCGATCAGCTGGATTAATGACGTGCTGGATGCTGATCCGGGGTACCTGTGTCTGCATCTTCATAAGATGCAGGTCAACTGGCATTAGTACATTGAATGTACGAGTATGCGAGTTGGAAAGCTAAACAACAACTTAAGCTTGAAAGGAGTACAAGAGAACACTTATCTTGGCTCTGTTCAACTCATGATAACTGAACTCAAATGTAAAGCAATAAGACACATGCAATACATAAATAACTTGTAAAAACACTGTAAACAACTTAGTTCGTTAAGGATAAAACGATAACAAACTCAACTTTACTTATATAAAAGTAATATAACTTTAGTGGGAGATTCTTTAACCGACAACCACCACTATGAGCCCTAGTGATGATACAACGTTTTACCTCACGTTGCCCAAGGACCATGCTATACCTTGCAGTGATATAGGACCTTACTTAACTTAGTGGATCCACTAGCTTAATCTTACGTGATCATCTAAAAAGAATGACCCGTTAGTTCCCATGTTTGGCTACATAGTTCTTATGGAGAGTTGAGTTAATATGAACTCGCGTCCCCAATTCGGTGCTCAATACTACTCCCAAAATACTTTAACTCATAAGTGTTTTAAACACATCTTTCTTTTGTTTGAGATAATTGCTCAAAATATAGCCCAAAGGCTCACTTGGAATCGATGTTCCCTTTTCTTGAAAACTAGCCCAAAGGCTCTTTTGGAATCATAGTTCCTCTCTTACTCAAATGTGAAAACATTTATAAACTTCTTTGGGAATACTTAGTTCCCTAATGCTTTTGAGAAATGAACTCAACTCTATACTCTTGGATTAACTTGAAACTCTATACTCTTTACTCAACTTGAAACTTGAGCCCTAAAATGAAGTTAAAACGTTCAACAAAGACTCTTGAAAAACTTTAAAGACTTGCTTTGACTTACTTCTTAATTTCTAGACTTGACTCTGACTTCACTTGACTTTGATCCGAACTTTCCTCAAATTGGATTATGAATTCAAGGGTAATAATCTCATGTTTATGGATGAGTTCTTGATGTTTAGAAGTACCTTAGAGTGTTGAAAACAACTATAAAACATAGGTACATTACCAAGGAACATGCATGAAAAAGTGGGGAATGAATGGGAAGACTTGGCGTCCTTAGTGCTCAAAGAGGTGCATGGCGCTAGCCTTCAGACTTCAGAGGGGCTGTTGGGGCGCTCTGCTAGGCGCGCTGCCCCAAGGAGGGAACTTCAGAGTCCCTTTTGGGGCCCGCTGGCTGGCGCGACACCCCAATTCTTTTCCCAGAAAAACCCGACTTTCTCTTCTTTTTTTTCCCACCTTAACTTCAAAGTTTTCTGCCCCAAACACTTAGAATCATAAAACCCCTCAACATACAATAGATTCAACTCGAAAAAACAACCGAAAACATGTCCCAAATCAACAAGAACTTCAACAACACAACCCACAACTTCAACAACCACAATCAACAACTTCAACAAACACAACCAAATCTTTTCTTGGAAATTAAAACGAGTTTGGCGTGTGGGGGAATGAACCAACCCAACACTATGATCTCACATACCTTAACAGGGATCACCCCCGACGAAAACCACGACGATCTTGACGAATCCTTGCTTCTTTTTCTCTTTCTCCTCTTCTTTCTCTCTTATCTCAAAAGCCCTAACTCTCACTTTTTAAAAGGGGAAACTGATTTAAAATCAGTCTATACCCTTAATATAACCAAAAGAAATGGTTAGGGAAAAGACCAAAATACCCTTACAAATTCGGGTGAACTTTCCTTACCAACAACCCAACTTCGAAAAGGCATAACTCACTCATACGAACTCGAAATCGAGCAAACTCGGCAGCGTTGGAAAGATCATTCCACGAGCTTCGCAAACATAACTGGAACTACACCTAAATCATACTGAGATAGGAGTTATGACTGCTCAAAGTTGGCCAAAAACTCACTATTTCCCATACTTAACCAAATTTTCCAGATTTTTAATTATTTCCAAAAATGACTATTTCCAATTCTAAGCCACTTCATAGTTATTTCAAATTACCAGATGTTACACTTAATTTATGAGGGTTGTTTTACTTTGATCCTTAATATATTTTACTTGATCCATATAGTCCTTAATGTATTATAAAAGGGTATCACTTTAGTCCATTGTCCAAAAAGTAACAGATCCATCAAAAAGTCAAGTTAAGTTTAACGCCGGGACCCACAACAAAATAAATCAGGAAAACTTTCCATTCCCCTTATAAGCCATAGCATGAAAAGTGCCATAATTTTCTCCATTTTCAGCTCTTTCAAGTTTCACTGTAGAATTATATAGTAAAAACGCACTTACTTTCTTCTTTACTACCAAGAATGTTTATTTATCAAAAGAAATGGTGGCAAAGAATCAACTCTTTTTTTTTCTTACAATTTGGGTGTATCTTACTATCATTGATGGTGAATCAATTTTGTCACCTTCAAATAAGGCTATGATTAGAGCTTATGTATCTATCTTCAAATACTTTCTATTTTTTATGGCAATGAAAGACCTCAAGAATTGCTTATATTAGAAATCACTTATTATCATTGAATTAGAGTAGCAATTAGGAATTCAAAGACGAACTAAGAAAGAGAAAAAATTCTTCTTTCTTGACATTTTGCTGTAAAAAAAATAGAAACTTTGTGTTTAAATGAGAAGAGAGAAGTTTCCTTCTGTTGGCTGAAGCAAAAAAAAAAATGCACAAGCTCAGGGATAGGGAAAGCTTGAGTTATACGTGGGCCAGGGTTAAATTTAATAGAATTTTTTAGTGAATCTGTTACAG